GTCTGAGTGTCCACTCACCGTGTGTCCAGCAGCCCATCGTCTGAGTGTCCACTCACCGTGTGTCCAGCAGCCATCGCCACGGGAACCGCTCCTCTCCCGAGCCGCTCTCCCTCCGGCAGCAGTGCTCACCCCGTCACGTGGACGCCGACGGCACCCCCCCGGTCCTGCTGGTGGTAACGCCCGCTCTCTCCCTCTGTCTCCTTTACCCATCCCTTTTCCATTTTCCTTTTGCTGTCTTTTCCAGCCCCCTTTAGTGGGCAGTTGAATTTGGTGGCTGGTGTATTGGTGGGCGTCGGGCAGTTGAATCGCAGTGCGCGGGTGAATTGGCGTGCGGGGGGGTTGAACTGGCCTCTTGCTCGCCCCCCACGTGCGCTCGGCAGGATGCCATCTGCCCTCCAAGCCTGCCGTGCGTCTGCCTCGCCTCACCCCTTCGCTAACCCAGCCTCCGCTGTCCTCCCTGTGCCACCTGCCTGCCTCCGACCTCGCCCGCCGCTGAGATCCTCGCGTCAACTCCACCCAGGGTCCTGGTCCTGTCCGAGTGTTCCCTCACCGTGTGTCCAGCAGCCCATCGTCTGAGTGTCCACTCACTGTGTGTCCAGCAGCCACCGCCACGGGAACCGCTCCTCTCCCGAGCCGCTCTCCCTCCGGCAGCAGCACTCGTCCCCGTCACGTGGACGCCGACGGCACCCCCGGTCCTACTGGTGGTAACGCCCGCTCTCTCCCTCTGTCTCCTTTACCCATTCCTTTCCCATTTTCCTTTTGCTGTCTTTTCCAGCCCCCTTTAGTGGGCAACTACCTCTTCTCCGTTTTTGGGTTTCCAATAAATGGTTCTGAGATACAAAGTTTGTCTCGGTTGACTTCATTTCGTTCTTGACCATCCATTTTAAAAGAACTCCTCGCAGTTCCCTACGGTTGGAACGCGACACTATGTCAGCCTTGTTGTTCAAGAATGTGTAATTGTTTGTCAAATGTAAACTTTATTGCAATAAATGGATGATTTGCACAGAAAACAACAAAAGTGAACAACAAAACAACAAAAATGCTAACACTGTGCATTCTGAAAGTATACTCTTGATGACATAAGCAAGAGATGAAAAACATTGTAACATTATTCACAAAAACATTTTAAGTTTAAGCAGTAAACTTAAAATAAACCCAAAGGGTTCTGTTGAACTGAGGAGCAATCAACTTGGTAACACACACAGTTTTCCACAGAAAACATAGGAACCTCATCTGACAAGCAACAAAACTTGGYCACAGTCTAAAGTTGTAGAAACTATCTGCAGATTGCTGACTCTTGGATCACATCCCACAGTAGGGAGGGCTCAGTCTCTGTGTGTGATTTGCAGACTCTGCATCCAGTCCAGTGCCTGGCTGGTCCCAGATACCTTCTGTTCTGAGCAGGTTGTTTGGTGTGAAAGAACAAGTGGGCTTCTGACCTAAACACAACCCACTTGCTGTTCTGAAGGTGGGACACGGCACCCAACTGCCCAGGAGCCACACTCGTACCAGCCAGTATAGGGTCAGTCCCATTTTTAGCAGTGATATGAATCCACCGCTCCATGGGACATAGGCAGATGCTGCAGTTTACAAGCGATTCCTGTTGCTGAAAAAGGCTACTGAGCAGGCAAACAAATTTCATAAATAGTTTTAAATATGAAATTTTTCTCTCTTACAATTTTTAACAGTATTAATAGAGTGCAGCAGGGTAGGAACAGGGACATGAATATACACAAATACTTCAGCTGCAGCATTCTGGCAGATGCGTAATAAACTACTGATCCAAAACAATGATGTTGCCAGAACAGTATGACTAATGAGTAAGTAAATCCTGGCTTCTGTATCAATTTACCAATTCAACATCAGTTTGCAGACAAAATGGTAAATTGGTGTCAGATGAAATTCCGAAAAATTCCAAGTTAAGAATTCCAAGGAATTGAGTTAAGAATTAATCAAGATGAAAAGAAGCCTAGTGGCTCACTGACAAAATATGCCAGCATTTGCCAGAAGGAAACTACCTGTTGCTATTAAGACATCAGTTTGAAAATGTTATTACCCTCTTTCAAGACAAATTTGGTTGTAGGGCACTGAAAGTGATCTAGCTAATATATAGCTAGTACTCAGATGTTCCCATGTGTAATTGCTTACTAGAAGCCAAAGACAAAAAACAAAACACAAACAAAAATTCATTGAGAACATCGTAAAAAGCATCAATGCCTTACACAAACACTACTTTAACATCTGTGCAAGAAGCAGTGTCAACAAGACATCAACTCCCTTTTTTGTTTTTTCAGCTTCAGTTTAAATCAAGACTAAGACATGTTTGCAGTGGAAGAAAACTAAAATCTTCAGGTTCCTTATTACAGAGTTAAAAAAAGACAATATTAAATCTATCAATTTTCACAGCTTTCATTTAGTTTTGTAAAAAAATATAGTATCTTATATAAACAAAAAATACATTACAGATGCCAGCACACACACCTACAGTTCTGCTTCAGTGATATTCTCATCAGGGCTACAATAGTATTCCACAAAACAGATCTGTCCATCTTCATTCCTAATCATATACTGCAGTGAAAGAAATCCTTGAGCATCTGTTCGAATGGACACTTTACAAGACAAAGCCAGTGCCTTTGTGGATGGTTTAAGCAAAGAAATCTTGTACCTGCAGGAGAAAAAAAAGTAATTCTGAAAAGAAATACACTGTGCAAAGAGGAGCTGAAACATTACTCACAAATAAAGCCACAGAATAAATAAAACACAACCAGGAGCATACTTATTTGGTCTTTACATGGTGACATTAAACTGTCACYGTCAGCACTTGACTTTTGGTTAGACACAGACTTTTATCAGATGGGGAGTATATCTGCCCCCATATTAGAGAAATAAATGTTACAGWAATGCAAAAACAGTTTTTAAACTTCCTATCAGGAATACATGACTTGGCACAGAGGCAACAGTCACAGACTTTCTAACCTRTTTGTCTGGGTCTGGTTACAGTGGAATGCTTCCATCAAATCAGAATCCCTAGGGTAGTCCACATGTGCACTTCCAGCATTTCCAAAAGTGGATAACCTGAAAGACAAAAAGCACCATCTCAGAATACCTGATCAGAGCTCTGTAAAAACTCATCAAATGAGTCGTTGTGCATATCCCAATGACTTTTTCACTAAACACTGCTGTTTGTTCCACTTTATTCAATTAAAAATGTTAAACTGTCCGTACCAGTGTCACATTTATCAGGTTGTCGAGATATTCCTTACTATGTTAACTGTCATTTGCTATATTCATTACAATTCTTCCTGAAATGAACCAGTATTCTAAAACAGTTCCCCTCTCTCCRCCCTGGAAACTTCCAGTCCTCACCAAAGGAAGCTAAGCATGAACATTTGAGTTGAAGGCAGTTTCCTACCTGAAGTAGGGTTTATCTGGAGACATGGTAATCTGCAGAACCTCGCTGGTCATATCCAGTTCAGCAAATGCTTCTCGCAGTCCCTCTGACTGCAGGATAATTTTATTAACAACCTTTGTACTGCAGAAATCAAAATCTAACAACTCATCAGGCTCCTGAGTGTGGATTTTGCACACTGTCACTACTCCTCCTTCTTCCAAGAACAGCATCAAGGGATGCCCATAACCACGATAACACATTCTAAGGGCTGTGGATGTTCCTGAAACAGAGAATGAAATATACATTCAGTGGAGAGCATAGCTAGGACATTTGATCACTTTAGAAAACGCACATTTTTCTGGCACATGGGGYACAGATCATTTGGATTCAGCCTCAAATATATTACTGTAGCACATCTAGCCTCCTAGACACCCTCTGAAGTGCTAATGGTTATGCTGCACAATTAAAAGACCTGTGTGTAGGCAATTCAAAACCAAATAATTTCACCCACCAGACTGAACTGGAAAATCTTCATTGTCCTGTGGCTCTCTCTGGCTCACATCATCTCACYTTGCTATTCTTGTTACTTGTGCAACCCAAACTGAAGTCAAAGCAGCCAAGTTTGTGCTATGGTCACATCCTCCTGTTGCAGGTTATCACCACCTGAACCTCTGATTTCCCAAAATCACAGTGCTCTTTGGTACACTTGATTTAGATCTTTAGGTCAGCCACAACAACACTGCAGAGGAACGAGGAGTTCAACACAGAGCTGCAAGGCTATAACTGCCCAAAAAGCTGCCATGGAATCATTCCACTCCACCCATGTACAAGGTGCAGCCTGCAGTGCCCACATGGCCTTGCATGGATTCAATGTACCACACCTGGCAAGGAGCTGGTTCCAAAAATGGTCAGGCAGTCCAGAAGAACAGACAAACTGACTCGGAACATCACTGATTCCTCCTGAACAGAAAATTCCTGGAAAATTTCTGCCTGTAAGTTAAGGTAAAGAGATGAAAAGTGGAGAGTTTCTGCAATTACTTTAACGTTTATGCTTCAGAGCTCTCCCTTTCAGAAATCAGCACAACACAAAATGATTTCTACATGCAACACATGGATTATAGAAAATGGGTCTTCATCATTAAAACTAGAAAAATATAGTCAGTTCACAGCTGAAACAAGGTAGGGTGGCATAAACATGAAATCCTAAACACTTACCTTATATGGTTTAAGAACAARCCACAAACATTAAAGCCTAAAGCCACTTACTTGTAGAGCTGGAAACATCCAGGAACTATACAACATGTCACCCTTCTCCAGTAACAACACTTGCTTTTCCATACTCAGAGCATGAATAAACATTCCAAATACTAAAAGTATGTAAGAACTGAACAGTGAGTTCACCACTCTGAAATATGTGCTGAATCCTTTCTTTGACCAGCCTGATGGGGGTAAACTGCCCTACACTATCCTGTTTGTCACTGGCACTCACTGCTTTGTGGCACCTGCAGGAACAGAGCACCTCAGAAATACAGCAGGGTGACATGAGGTGCTTTTGGAAAAGCAATTTCATATTTTATTGGCAGACCAGAGGGTAAGTCCCATCCTGGGGTGCTTTGAGCACAGCACAACCAACTTCAAGCGTCTGTGAATCGGTACTTTTTCACAGCTGACATAAATCCAACCTTCAGGCTTTGGGATGAGACATTAAAACAATTAACAATGGATACTATGAGGGCTTGCTTGAGCAACTAAGCAGAACACGGCCAGAAAGAACTGTGGGTTTGGCAGGCACCAACACATTAAACAAAGGCATAAGCCCATTAGACTGTCAGGTGTGCAGGGATGTACTGGGTRCAGGGTTTGGAATTCCATCAGCATGGAGACCCATAAACAAGGGCAGCCTCACCACAGCTCTTCCTGCATGCCAGCTCACACACCTGGACAGCAAAGTCTCCCCTTCTCTGTGGGTGAACACAGAATCATGGCCTTGTTAGGGTTGGRAGGKWCCTCTGGAGATCATCAGGTCCCACCCAGGGTCACCTGGAGCAGGTGACACAGGAAYRCATCCAGGTGGGGKTTGAGTGTCTCCAGAGAGGGAAACTCCACCACCKCCCTGGGCAGCTGTTCCTGTGCTCTGCCACCCTCAATGCAAACAAGTTCTTCATCATGGAAGATGGAACCTACTGTGTTGTAGTGTACGCTACAACATATTGCTCCTTGTCCTGTCACCGGTTACCACTGAAAAGAGTCTGGTACTATCTTCTTGGCACCCACYKTTTARATATTTATATRCRTTMATGAGCTCCCCTCTCAGCCTGYTCTTCTCCAGACTGAACAGGCCCAGCCCCTRSAGTCTCTCCTCAGAACAGAGATGTTCCAGACCCTCAAGAATCAATCTCTGCGGCCTCCGTTGGCCCGTCCCCAGTGTTTCCTTGTCTCTCCGGTGTGGACACGGGGCCTGTCCAAGGTCTCTAGCGGCACTGCCCTCCCCCTCGCCGGTGTCCCCGTACCTGGATGAAGGCGTTGGCCTGGATGCACTTGGCATCCTCCACCGTCACCCGCAGCCCGCTGGCCGTGGCGAAGCAGGTGGCGTAGTCCTGGAAGTGCACGGCCCGCAGGAGGCTGGACAGGTGCCGGGCATTGTCCAGGCTGGCGGACAGCGCGTACCGCTCACCGCTGGCCGGAGGCTGAGCCGAGAACGGCATGGCCGGACAGCGGGAACACGGCCGGACAGAGGGAGCACGGCCGGACAG